TTTCCCGAGGGCAAGATTGCAGGAATGGGTCCTCCTGTTTTAAAAATAAACTACTATAGTATATTATAGTTTTGGAGATAATATGTATTATATTTTTATAAAAGATATATCTTATAAATTTTAAACTTAACCAAATTTAATGAATAATGATATGAAGTAGGTACCTTCTTTTATTAATCGTTCTGCTTCTTTTTCTCTGTGAGTCTCGCAGGATAATCCTTCTTCAAAAATTGAAGTAATAGCTCTTTCTTTGGCTGGTCCAATCATACGGCGTTTTTTAAATGCATTATGGATTTCATTAAAATTACCAATGTACTCACACTGCATCAGTACTCTGTTGATAAATTGATTTTTTTAAATTGTATAATTGAAAGAACAGACAGAATGTTATTAAAGTATTTAAGTCAAAATAATACTTTATTAATAAACATGCAATAATTAGTACCGTGAGTTTCCCAGTGGTTTTTCTGGTATTATGCCTTTAAACTGTGAACTACAAACAGTGCAACGTCCTATTACAACAACATAGTTGGGTCCATTTGAATAAACTTTTCCTCTACGAAATGAAAGACAACAAGGAAGTTCTGTATGGATCCAGAAATGCTCGGCTAAAATCGGTGTCCAAGTATTTTTAGGTAAAGAATCATATGCTCTAAAACTTTGCAATGGACGATCTTTATCTTTTTTTTTATAAACAACTTTATGAGGCTGCATTTTAAACCATTCATCCTCAGAAAACGTGATAACAAACTTCTTCATAGGTAAACCTTCCTCATTACTGCTGTAATCACTTGAATTGTCTAGTAAAAAAATATTTAAATTGAAAATTGAAAATATAAAATAATATTTTAATTTTAATTAAATATAATTTAATACGAATAAAACGGTTCTGAGCAGACAAATTATTTTTTTTTTCATTTAAAATAAATAAATTTAACTATTTGAATTATGATTGTTTCATTTTATTTTAGATGAGAAAATTATATTTAATATTTTATTTATGTTTAATAATTGTAATAGTATATATTATCTCCATAACTAACCTTTACCGAAATAATGCGATTTTTGACTTAAGATACATGTCAACATATTTTAGCAACAATTAACTCTGAACCAATAGTATTGTTTTACAACTCATTTGTAACTGCTTGTAACATTGCTTTTATAATCTGTAACTCCTTACTTTGCGTAATATAGAAATTTTAGTGACAGGAAGCATCCGTAAAACAGCATCCCCCATAGAAAGTTAATGAACAGCAGATCGGTATTCCTTTTTAGATAAATAAATAAAAAAGCCTAGTTGAATACAAAATCTAACGAAACCTTTTTTAATCGAATTTTTATTTTATAAAATACGAACTTTTTATTTAACTTTATTTTTAAATACATTATTTATTCATAATATAAGATTTTTATTAACATTTTATTTTTACTTAAATTAGATTTTTTTAAAACAGCTTTTTATTCATATTAATTTTTTTATTAATTCCTCATTTTTTTTTTATCAAATGAGATTTTTTATTTATTTAGTAGTTTTACATTTTTTTTTTTTTAAATATAAAGTATAGATTTTAGTTTCAGGGGCATTTTTTCAAATATTAGAAAAATATAGTTAAATTTATTTTGAATTTTTTTTCTTAGACCTGCCTTTTCAATTCAAATTATATTTTTTTGTACTAGGTATAAAAAATATCCCCTGAACCAAAAATCTATTTAAATATTCAAAAAAATATATATATCTACATAGAAAATAAAGAATATTATTTGATGACAACAAATTAAATTTGAAAAAACCCTTTAATTTTAATGAAAAAATTAGAATTAGAATAATAAATGTAAATTCTATAAAAAATCTTATATAATTAAATAACCTAATTAGAAAAAAAACCTAGTTAAATGAAAAATTTGTATTTAATAAAAAAAATTAATTTGACTAAAAATGTTGTTAGATTTTTTTCAACTAATCTTTCTTGTCTGGTTAAGATTTTATTTATTCATTCAAGAATTTTTTTAATCGCTTAAGATCTTTTATTTACAATGGATATAGGTATATTTTTTGAGAAATATATATTTTTTATTCAATTTCTGTTTTTGTCCGATTAAGAGTTTTTATTTAACTGGGCTGTTTTTTATTTATATTTTATTTATTCAATCAAGATTTTTTATTTACATTATATTTTAACTGAATTAACTAAAATTATTTTTGTTATGAGAAATCGTTCTGAGAAAACTTCAAAGTTTAGGTATATTAATTATTAATATTTTTGGGTGTTAACTTATTTTTTACTTCCACTTATAACCACTTTTGAAAAGGGCTTTCAAAAACTAGACTTCATTTTTTTGATAAAATTAATTTGGAACG